TACCACACACATCTTTACCTAGCATCTAACTGCTAAGGAGCTTAATCCATGCATTGCTCTTTGTTCCTTGTTCCTAATTTTCCTAAATCAACTGGAAATTACAGGCTTCTGCCCCCAATAATTGTGAATGTGAAAAAAATCTATTTTTAGTTCCAAAGGCTAAGAAAAGTTGCTTTCAAAACCCGGTTTATTTAGGAGGAAAAAGCCAGATAATTTTAGAGTAAATGTGTAAATAAAGATTTTAATTTTATATTTTTTTTATTTAAAAATGTTAACTTTATTATTTTCTAAATAAAGATGTTAACTTTTAATTTTTTTCTATTTAAGGATGTCAATTTTTAATTTTTTTTTAATTTAAAGATATCAACTTTCAATTTTTTCTATTAAATGATTAATTGGTGGTGATTTTGATGTCAGCTAACATATTTTTTTAGGTTAAATGCTTAAATTGATCTCTCAACTTTCATTTTTTAACCAATTCATCTTTGAACTTCATAAAGTATCGAAAACATCTTTCAACTTTAATTTTCAATTAATAAAATTATTTCTTAATTCATGGAAGAATTAATTAACTTTTATTTAATTTTATTAAATGGTAGATGGGACTAATTAAATGGAAAAATATATTAATTGTTTTAATTTTTAAAATAAATAAAGTAAAATTAAGAATTAAAGTAGTTTTTAAATTATTTAAAATTTAAAAAATCCACATAATCATTTTTTACATGGTGGATTTTCCACCTAATATTGAAAATGTAAAATAATCAATCATTTAGCGAAAAAAATTAGCTACATCAACATTTAATTGACGGAAAGACGAAATTGAAAATTGAAGTTGAAGGATATTTTTAGTACTTTCTAAAGTTTAAGAATGAATTGATTTAAAAATAAAAGTTGAGAAACCAATTCAAATATTTAACTTAAAAAAATATGTTAGCTGACGTTAGCATCACCATCCATTAATCCTTAAATAGAAAAAGTTTAAAATTGACATTTTTAAATAAAAAAAATTGAAAATTGATATCTTTAAATAGAAAAAAATTAAAATTTGACATTTTTATTTAAAAATTAACAAAATTAACATTTTTAAATAAAAAAATACAAAATTAAAATCTTTATTCACACATTTACTCATAATTCTACCCGCATAAATTTTACCTTTGGTGTTTTGGGAAGGTACGGAGGGTAAAATTGGAAGAAGGAAATTAATGCAACTCAGAAATCTTAAAACGTCAATAATTAGAAACAATACAAAATTTTCCCAGCTAAAACGTCCAATATATTTTTTCTAGTTTGGAATAGAAAAATAAATAATAAATAATAAAAATAAGAAAACACCCGGCCTGTAAAGTCATCATGAAAAGGGCATGCCATTCCATCTGTGTCTTATAGCCTCAGAGAACAATGGGGAATCATATCTACAATTCCACTAAGCATTGTCTATTGAACTACTTTGGAAGAGGAACACTGATTTCAAGTGAATTACTTTTGGCTTGTGTCCTTCGAGTTTCTCTGGAACACATTTCTAAACCAAGCACTCCTTAAGTTCTGATAATACATGACTCATGTTCGGCCTCTGGACACATGACATTGCTATCTCCATTGCTTTCCAAACTGCATTGATGTTGAATTCACCTTGTAAACTAGGATCAGTGATGCTCTGGATGTTCACTCTTTCAATCGAAGGATTAATCCACTCAATTATACTAATATTGTATCCTTCACCTCTTGTTATGATAGGTCTACAACTGACCAATTCTATTAGAATTATTCCTAAAGCTGTAGACACCACTTTTCTTACTAATCCTCAGCTGCCCGCAATCGATGCTTATGAAACCTTAATTAAAAAAGTTCGTTAAAACGATTGGAATCAGAACAAATGTGTACAGACTACAGAATAAACTTCACAAATTTTCAGGACAAGAAGGTATGTAACACAGATGGTATTAACTGGTCTGTCTGTGGCTAGCTTTCTTCCTTCGGTATGTTCAGCATATGTACCCGAACAGGATTCCACCAGTAACAAGACCATCCATAGTTAGAGAAAAAAATGGCAGTGATAGTCCAATGCAGAAAATCCATGTAGGCGTTTCTTCTTACCAATCTTACCATTGTTATTCAGATAATCAGTAAGTTTGAAATCTTCTAAGAGTTACTATAAAGAAAAGCTGATCGAGGTTAAACGAATTGGTTGAACTTGTTATGAACACATGTACTAGTACCAGCACATAGCAAATAACATGGTCCTATAAGTATGTTTTGGCTCTAATCTTATATTAATTCAGGATTAGGTGTTTAATGTGAATATATAAAAATAATTAACGATATTTTAACGCGTTTATTGACAAATTTCAAGGATTCAGGGAGATGCATTGCACCTATCGAACCGCTGAAACTAATTATCAATTAGCCATGACGAAACGGGTTTGAGGTCCAATGGTTGGTCCCTAAGTCTAGGGTTTGAGTGAGGTGGAAGTCAGGGTTTTGAGTCTGTCACCGTCGTGAACTCCATCAACTTACAACTTAATAGTCGTGCGCCTCATATGAGGGGTGGAACGTTCATTATTTTGAAAAAATTTCAACTTGCTAATAAATTAACTCTACTAACTTCCTAACTATTTATCTAATAAAAAAAAAAAATAGGCATGGAAGAATGATAATCCAGTCACATCTACTCATTAAAGTCCAAGTTGCAGGTAGCATTATTTCTCAAGATTGGAGAGGCCTGGTGTGGTCGGTCTACAGTAAAGAAGTTCAAAAAGGGTGAGCTGACAGCAAACGAATGGCAATTGAGAAGAAGCAACGCAATTTGGAGCATAAGTCAAATCATCATAAATGTATAGCTGCAGAGATGACCAATTGGGCTGACTTGTGATCCATGATCCTTTGTGCAAGACGGAGACCTTTACGTCGTGTAAGTGGGTAAGGTTTTTTTTTTTTTAGGGATATTCGGTAAAAAAATTAAAATAAAAGGTGGATTTTATTTTATTTTGAAATTTAGTGTTAATTAAAGAAATTTACATTATTTTATAGAAAATAAAAATGATATTAAAATAAAATATTATAATTAAATTTTTATCTCAAGGTACCATAACTTAATTAAAATAAAAAACATAACTTATAATATTAATAATTAATTTAAATTATATTTATGATTAATATAAATAATTAAATAAAAAATTATTTATAATTAAAAATTGTAACTGCAGTCATCGTACAAATAAACAAATTCAAATTATACTTATCATAAATACAAATAATTAAACAAAAATATTATTTATAACAAAAAATTCAACTGCAATTATTATATAAATATAAACGAAACTACTAAAATAAAAAAATATCATTATAAATATCATAAATTATTAAACATTTTCACTTATCCAGCTAACTTATACAAAGATTAGGAAATGTCGACATCAATTGCACAATAAGAAATGCCGAACTCTACCGTGCGGTGCGATGGATCGCACCCCTTACCGAGGAAAGTGAAAGATCATTTATTTTGGGATCGAATATTTGATTATTAATTATTTTTAATTTAATTATTAACTATTACTCTTGTTATAAAAAAAAAAAAAAAGCCAACATCAATTGCCTCGATCTCGCTGGATATTGTCCTCGACTAATGTAAGCTTTAAACGGCAAGACGGTCAAATCATCATAAATGTGTTGCTGTGGAGATGACCTTATTAAAAAGATAAAAACAAGAGTTAAATTTAAATTTGTAAATCCTTTCATATAATATCAACTTACACTTTAGTCAATATTTTAGCACAACTTAAAAAAAAAGTTGTGCATACATGTAAGTTAACTTTTGCTTTAAAAGCTTCAAATATTTAACCACAACATGAAACTAAAATGAGAATATTGAGGTTTGGTGCCCATTGCGTAGTTTCATACTTTGATTAAAATTTCTTAAATTGGGACTTGTGTATAACCTCACATACAGAAGCAGGATCAAATCAACTTAATAAAAGGTCAAAAAAGGAAAAAAAGACTCTTGAAGGATGTCGAGACACCCTTACCATAATTGGTACGATATGTTTTTTTCTTTTTTTTTCTTTTATCTTAGTTGTGAAATAATTGACAAATCTCTTTCATCTTTTATTTTATTTTATTTGTGTGTCATATGATCTAAACTTAAAATTTTTTATTTGTAAAAAAAAATTATTATTAAATTAATTAAGTCTTTGGTTATATTTTTCTCTTTTATTTTTTAAGAAAAATTTTCCTGGGCCTGGACATGTAGATTGGTAGTAACGGAATCTTCGATTTGATGGAACTTGTAAGAGTCCCTTCAGCCTATAGAGCCGATTACCTACATATTGATTCCTGACAACAGATAATGGGCCTCATGGCCAATCGGGCTTCCTTATGAGATCCAAAGTGCCAAACTAAATTTCAAACTCGAGGGCCATCAAAAGATTCAAAACAAAGCACTGTCCACGGCTCTCCTGCATTGTCCTGCGTGTCACTTTAATATTGGCTTATAGTTTTGCCAGACCAAAAACACTTTCTCCTCTGCCGAAGCCAAAATGATTCAAACAGCCAAATGTGTCCTTTGGTTTTCAAGTCAAGAAACCATCAAAATTACTCCTTCCCATTCCAGTTTCCGACCGTTACTTCCTTCTCTTCCACCCTTTTCTTTTTTTGCTTTCTCATTATCACTTCTACTACACACCACATTCTCTCATTCAGACCACCAATTCCAAAAACAAGACACAACAGTTGAAGAAAAGTGAGTTTGCTCTCCTTAATCAACAGGGTTTTTAATTCTTTCAATGTTTCGGAAGCTCTTGGCATCTTTGCAATTCTAACATGAATCTTTTGTTTGTTTTGTTTTTGAAATTAATCCAAGTGTACCCGAAGGTGAAAGTGAGGCCGGAACAAGATGAAGATGACAGTGGTTCAGTTCAATTTTTAGAGTCTTTCTCCAGCCAAGCTAATTAATACCAGCTGCCACTATTTTTCACTATGATATATCAGTACTGCTTCTAATCATACATCCTATATTCCCATGTAACGTGTGGTTTATTTTCCCTCTCGTTTTTGTGCAAAGAAGGAAAATCAATGGCATTCTGATTCTCCACCTATAATTGGTGGAGTCACCAATGCTAATTCAATTTCAACTTCTAAAGGTTAATTATTTCTCTTCAACATGCTACATTTTAAATGTTGTTGTTATCTAATTGCTTGAATTTTCGAGTAAAGGGGTACTGGACATGGTACTGTGACCTTTTGACTCGTATGACTTGTGTACTCCACTCTCCACATTGAATTAGTGGACATGTTAGAAACTTAACTCACATTATAGGTTAATTCTGTACTTTTTCTTAATCTTAATTATGAAATGCATTTTGACAGTGATGAATAATCAGAAGAGCAATGGTGAGGAGAAAAAGTTAAGTGGAAGAGCAGCTTTAGTTCCGCGCCCTTATGCAGTTTTGTCTGGTCCTGGTAATCTGAATTTCACTTGTTTTACCTGTTTCTTCTTAATTATCTATGATTGTTTGTGGAATTGAGATGAATCTTCCACCTTGATAAGATATGAACCATATTGATCGGGAGCATAGGCTTGAGTAAAGAATTGACATAGTAGTTCTAAAGGAAGTCACTTCTTCTAGCAGTGAGAATGTATAGTGTCCTTGATAATGGATGCAGATTTGTTACTTCCAGATAACTTTGCTCACTTTTTCTGGTATTCCTTGTAATACTCCAATTGCTGCGACAATGGGATAGCATGCTGCAAAATACTATAATTATTTGGCAAAAAGGGAAAGAAGTGTCAGATGAATATATGCATAAGGTGGAATTCTATTTCCCACATTTATGATGGCAGCTTTGTCATCATAACCAGATGCAGCTGAAGCAAAATTGGCCCCAATTAGAAGATTTTCCCCTGATGCTTCCAGGCTTAGATATGCTGGGGCATAAGTCTTGAATCCCAGATTTTCAGCTACAAAAGGAAATCTATCTAATTTATTTACTTAAAGAAATAATCACTAGACAAATTAGTAGTACGACTTATTACTTACCAGTAATATCAGTGGCTAAGTTCCCATTGCAAAGCCTCCCAGTAGTTTTGTGATTGATGAAGTCTTTTCCATAAGAGGGTAATTAGCCTTGAAAAGGTTGGGGAGATAGAAATAAAAAGCAACATCTACTGCAGAATCACCGAAGGTTATGATGGCCGGAACAAGAGCACCTGAGTCTTGTGCATACCCTTTGCTTAGACGTGCAAATGCCAAGACCAAAAGCCTTGCTCTTGTATGGTACCTATCCAGTTTGCTCGACAGTGGTATTTTGAGCTGCTGACTTAGTCCTTATAAAAGGACTTTGGAAATTATCCAATTATGGCCCTGTCATGAATAAGGAAGATAGAAGTTGAGAACGGCCAATAAATGAGAGTAGTTCAAGTTTCTATTATGCATTCAAGTAACACATTTTTTTAAACAAATTTCCAGAAAATGTTTAGATTTTGTTTCTGTTTTATTTTCCTTTCACTCACTCACTCACACACACACACTCTCTTTCTCTCTCTCGCCTCATTTCAAATGTAGATGAAGTTGATAAACCCACATATATGAATTTATTTGTATCTAAGTAAGAACAGGCAGGGTAGTTGGGATGATATTATGGATATGGTGACACACAAGGGATTGGAACCACAGGGAAGTCGCATGTGATGGAGTTAATATTTCTGTCCTTTGTTTCTTCTTCTTGATATCTGAATCAATTTGGAAGATTGAGGAAAGAAAGAAATGCAGACATGTTGCTTTCAAAGTCTATCTTTTTCTTAATTTTCTTTAGAAAAACAAAAAGATCTATATGGACTCTGGTGCAAATATCTGAGTAGAAGCATGTACTGTGATACTGAAACTATAAATTTTTTTCTAGGAAGATTTCCATGTAACTATGTACATGAAATTGATAGGATTTTGTTTATGTACAGATATTTATGTATAGAATATTTGCAATGGACAACGGGGTCCAGTGTATTAATTTGAAACACCATTTATTTCTCCATTGGAAATTCAATTGCGCTGTAGTTGGTTTTCATTATCATTTACACGTCCAGGCTGGCTGCATGTTAGAGGATTGGCAGCCGACCTTAGCCCAACCATGAAAGCTGAAATACTGGATCCTCATCAACGTTTGATACTGCTAGTTTGCTAACTTGTTTTGTTTGCATGTTCGACATTTGGGATTTACTAATGGTTTAAGCACAAGAATTCGAAGGCGGGTGGTTTTAATATAAACATTGCAATGAGGCAAGATGTCACCGAGAAATGAAAGGGTTATTCTTTATTAGATAGTTGGTCTTTGGGGTGTCTCTTGTTATATAGCTTGTAATTAGTTAAAAACATGAAAGAAGCTAATAGGGTTGATTGCATACACAATTCTCACTAATCTAATTACGCAAAGGGTTTTTATTTGTAGTTGATGATGTAAAGATGAAAACTTAAGTGAAAATGAACATAAACTCAAGGGTTAAGCTTGAAAAATGAAGTACATGAACTGAGTTATGATATTACTTAGCAAACCAGCGTTGAACATCCATCCAGTTTCTAAGAAAAAGCAAAAGCTACAACCTTTTCTTCCTTTCCAAGGCAGTCGCTAAAATAAAAAGAAGTTAAGAAACTACAATACAAATTGCAACACCACTAACATGGTTTACAAAATTACATAGAAGACATAGCTAAGAAGTAACTTAATAGACTTTATCTCAAAACTAATAGAAGTTTATAGCCCTAAACAACAAGAGGGATTGATATCCAGAAATCCATGAAACATTGTCTATTGAATTACCTAGCAAGAGGATGAGCAATTTCAAGGGAATTACTCAATATATGGCTCTTTGTTGTCTGAGTTTCTCTGGAACCCATTTCTAAATCCAAACACTCCTTAAGTTCTAATAGTACACAACTCATGTCTGGCCTCTTGATTCCAATTGGCAACACATATGACATTGCTATCTCCACTGCTTTCCAGGCTACATTGATGTTGAATTCACCTTGAAACCTTGGATCAATGATCCTCCGAATATCCCCTCTTTCAATCAAAGGATTAATCCACTCAATTATGTGAATGCGCTCTTCACCTCTTGTTATGACAGGCTGACCGCAAACCAGCTTTAAAAGAACTATTCCAAAGCTGTAGACATCACTTTTCTTGTTAATGACTCCTGATGAGTGAAATCTGTAAGGAAAACATAAAAACAACTATATCGATAAGATGTTGAAAAAGTGTTACTAATCATGTTTTAGATTTAAGACTCACTCAGGGTCTAGGTATCCAGATGTTCCTACAAAAGCGAGTTGATACATGGGAGGCAAATTCTGTTGAAAAAGCTCTAGATAATCCAAAGTCAGCTATCTTGGCTTGCATGTTTTCAGTCAATAAGATGTTGGAGGTTTTCAGATCTCTATGGACTATTGGTGGCCTGCAACCATTATGTAGATATTCCAATCCTGCAATTATGACAATACAAAAATGTTAATTAAGCTACTTTAAGCTACTTTAATCTTATTATTATCTATTTACTTTAATTAATCATCCCATCACAAAATGTTTGTCTTCAACTTTGATTTCTTTTTAAGGGTAATATAAGTAAACATAAATTATCCTCAAATTCTTAATTTGAAAAAAAACAAAAACAAAAGTTATTTTGAGAAAGAGATAATACAAATAAAATTAATTTTTTGAACTAAATAAAAAAAGGAATGATATAATTTTATCCTAATAATGACAATGATGAATTTTTTAGTTGTTAATCAAAATTCAAACATTTAAATTTATTAAAAAAATTTAAAAAAAAAAAAGAAGAAAAAATCTTGCTGGGAAAGTAGAATGATTTGAATATAAAACTTAATTGAAAATTTTGTGAAGTTTTTGGAGTTAAAGTGTATTTTTTTAGAACTACAAGTGCCACATAATTGGTGCCACGTAAGCATGCCATGGGATTCCGTTAAAAAAGCTAACGGCAGTTTTTTAGGTATATGAATTTGAAATGATTTTCAAAGTTTATAGATGATTTTGAAATAAACTAAACTTTCTAAACTAAAATAAAAAGAGAGTAATAGTTAGTAGATAAAAAATTAAATTTAGCTAGAAATTAACATCCTTATTAATCTTGAGGGCATTGCGAAGGGGTGGAAGATTAGATTCTATTGTTGCCTGAATTGAAAATTTGACAAATCCTTTGATCGAAAAGTTTTGGGGCCCTATGCTTAGTGGTTTTAAGTATTCAAGAATAATCGAGGCTAATGTCACACCATTCAATGTAATGCTAATTTCTCGTCATTGATCTTTGTGGTATTTATAATCTTAGCAAAGTGAAAGTAGACAATCGAACCCTTGTAGAGAAACTACTTGATATTGTGAACCAATAATTCAATGAATCCCAGTGATTCTATAGTTGTGTAGCCATTCTAAGAGGCTCTGTTGGAATTTCGTAGTTAATGATAGAAAGGTATAGAGAATAATACTAGTTGTTGAAAAAAACTAGAGAATTGAAAGTCCTTCATTGAAAAATATGAACAGAGAATATGATCTTAATTAATGTAAGAAATTAAGAAAAAAATAGTATATATGTGAATAAATAAGGTAGAAGGTAAGGAGACAT